GGGTGGTCTGTTGGTGCCCTCACCCTGGGGTCAGTGTGTAGTCTGTGCCCTGGGAAATACTGTGTGGTTGAATGTGGGGTTTGTGACGAGCCCTAGTCATCCCACCCCGTGCCCAGTTCCTCACCCCCTAGTGCCATACAACTCGCAGGATCAGATTTTTCACTGTGTCCCACTGTAAAGAAGGGAGAGCATTTCTCAGTACAAGGCAGATGGTGGAGTGCTGAGCCATGCGATTGCGGCATCTTGGTAAATAAAGTTCTCCCTATAAAAGGGCAGTTTTTCCCCCAGACTTGATGAGCCGTAGGGGTGGGACTGGCTGATGCCATTCTTGTAAAAGAAGGAGATTTCTTTTATTGTCTAAGTAATGATTTTGATAGTGTGCCTGTGTAACAGTGGGGGGGTTGCAGCATGTTCAAAAGCTGCTACTGGTTTCTCAATGCAGAGCCACAGGTTTCACCACCCGCTCCGATATCGGCCCTGCGCGCGATGCCAACGACCCTGTGGATGATCGGCATGCTCCGCCGGGGAAGAGAACTGTCGGGGATCAAATGAAAAAGAACCAGACGGCTGATGATGATGACGAAGATTTGAACGACACCAATTACGATGAGGTGAAGAGATTTTCATCATCCAGGAGGTGTTTTTCCCCAAGTGGAGGAAAACCACTTGGGGAAAAAGTGGAGTCCCTTAGCCCCCTGCTCTCTTGCTGTGAAATCCCCAATTAGCTGAGGTTTCATGGCTGGAATTTCATAGAATCATAGAATGGTTTGGGTTGGAAGGGACATTAAAGATCATCCAGTTCCAACCCCTGCCACAGGCAGGGACACCTTCCATAGCCCAGGTTGCTCCAAGCCTCATCCAGCCTGGCCTTGGACACTCCCAGGGATGGGGCATCCACAGCTTTTCTGGGCAACCTGTCCCAGTGCCTCCCAACCCTCTGCGGGAAGAATTCCTTCCTGATGTCCTATCTCCATCTCCCTCGTTCAATTTAATCCCGTTCCCCCTTGTCCTGTCACTCCCTGCCCTTGGAAAAAGTCCCCCCCAGCTTTCTTGTAGCCCCTTCTGGTACTGGAAAGCTGCAATGAGGTCTCCCCGGAGCCTTCCCTTCTCCAGGCTGAACAAGCCCAACTCCCTCAGCCTTTCATCATAGCAGAGGGGCTCCAGCCCTCGGAGCATCTCCGTGGCCTCCTCTGGACTCGCGTCAACTGGTCAGTATCCTTCTGATATTGAGGGCTCCACAGCTGGATGCAGCACTCCAGGGGGGGTCTCACAGGAGCAGAGGGGCAGAATCCCCTCCCTCGCCCTGCTGGCCACGCTGCTCCTCATACGGCCCAGGATATGGTTGGCTTGCCTGTAGTTTGCCAGCAGCACGTCATTTTTTTTTTCTTTAATTGAGACCCCCATTATACACAGTGGCTTAGTTCATGCAGATTTTTGTTGTGACGTTCATCCACGTGTGGTGATTTAATTACCTATAGAGTCTTGGGAAGAAATCCATAAATAAAATATTAGTTTAAGTACTTCAAGGGATGTATTTTTTTAATTCTGCACAAATGAAAGTTAAAGCTCTTGTGCTTTGACTTGTCTTTGTGACCCTCATAGTCTCTTGTGTTTAAATCCTACTATGATTAGTTAAACGTTGAGTTATTCTTTTTATTTGCTTTCAGTAGTTTAAAAAATATTGGTAAATAGAAGAAAGGGGTAGCTGGTTTAAATTGAAAGTGGGAAGGTTTAGATTAGATATCAGGAAGAAGTTCTTCACAGAGAGGGTGGGAGCACTGGGACAGGTTCCCAGAGAAGCTGTGGATGCCCCATCCCTGGGAGTGTCCAAGGCCAGGCTGGATGAGGCTTGGAGCAACCTGGGCGATGGAAGGTGTCCCTGCCCATGGCAGGGGGTGGGGCTGGGGGGGCTTTGAGGTCCCTCCCAACCCAAACCAGTCTGGGGTTCTATACTGGGATCTCATTTCTTGCTTAGCAGAAACAATTCTGAAATAGGAGCAGTTTTGAAGCAGTTTTGCTTTGAAATGGTGTGGGAGAATAAACACTGGGGGTGGTAGAAGGAAGCCCCTTGTGTTTAGGGATGTGTTAGTGTGTTGCAGTGGTGTTAGAAATATCCTGCTCGTGCGTTTTCTGGGTGACTGTTGGCTGTCGAAGGAACCTAATGGGAGCTTTAAATTGAGGATGCTGCTGTTCTTTTCTTTACTCTTTTTTTTTTTCCTCTCTCCCTGAATTGTAGTTCAATGGGTACGCTGGGAGCCTCTTCTCAAGCGGTCCCTATGAAAAAGATGACGAGGAAGCAGATGCTATCTATGCAGCTCTGGATAAGAGGATGGATGAACGCAGAAAGGAAAGAAGGTGAGAGAAATTACAACACTGGCGTGGGCTGCTTTCTAGTTAGTTTGTGTGTTGGAGTTTTCCCTTCCGATCTCCCGGTCAGATTTTGTCCTTGCCCTCTGGGTCCTTTTTGGTTTGATTTTGTTTGCGTTGGTGCCCTACCTGTCACTCCATGGCTCCGAGTTTTCAGGACGAGGAGGTGGTACGTTGCACAGCTTGCTCGGAGGGTTGGTGTGGTTGAATCGCTTCGCTGTAGTCAATTAAGATGCGCTGCAGCTCATTAAGGTGACGTGGGGAGGTGCCGAGTGTTTTGACACATCCTGTACTGCGCAGCAGGCCGGAGTTGTTACAAAAGGTGTGTCATGCAGGTGCCTTGTAAACCTGTGAGTGCTGCTTGTTAAACCCATCACCCGGCCTACGGGTAAGGGGATGCTGAAGGCTGAAGGTCGTTTGGTTGGAGACCTCTGGTTTCACACTATAATGTTGTCTTCTTTGAGAAGATACCTCATAATGTTGATAATGTAAGCTTGGGAAAAACTGTGCTTTGTAATGCTTTAGCTCTGATCAAACACGTTTTTCTGTGACATCCACACTTGCCGGGTGTTGCGTTGGGTGTAACCTCAGTATTCCTTTTCCTAAGGGAGCAACGAGAAAAAGAGGAAATCGAAAAATACCGTATGGAGCGACCCAAAATCCAGCAGCAGTTCTCAGACTTGAAGGTAGGTGAAAGAAACGTCTGGAATGTGCCCTTGATCTCGGTGCCGTGTGGGAGGCGGATGTGTGTTGGGCGGTTCGTTGCGCAGGTTGCGTGTGTTGGCAGACGAGGCCTTCGCTGCCCTCCAGGTTACAATTACTTGGTCGGGAAAAGTAAGTGAGCGGCCACAAAGCCTAAAGCTGGTGGCATGGAACCTCTCCTGGGCGCAAAGGTCCCTCGCAGACTGCAGTTACCCGCAGTGCGACCGGGTGCGCAGATTTGAAGCGGGGCGGCGGTGGAATCTGCAGCGGTGAAGCTGCAGCGGCTCTGCTGACAGCGTGGTCAGGCCTGCACTCTGGAAGTGGTGTTGGAAGCTCCTCTGTCGGGATACGGGAGCACGCAGTGGTTCTGCCTGCTGAGCGCTTTTCCTGTGGATGCGCAATGTAGTTGAATTTATGCAAATTTTAATACTAAACTTTTATTTTGTGCTTGATTGTGACTCCTGAGAAGGTGCTACACTTCTGAGGGCCTGATAACTTGTTGGCATTGAAATAGTAGTTGAGCAGGATCTGCTGACTCTAAATCTTCTTTGAAATGAAATGTGTTGTCTCAGCTATTGTTTAATGATTAATAATAAAACGCTCAACGCTGCCGGCGCTGAGATTAATCTGAATATTTGTAGCGGTGAATTTAATAACAAAATTAATTTGGAATCTCAAGTCTGGCCTAAACCCAAGCTCTAATTAAATGTGTCTAAGGCTCTTGTACATGGGATTAGGAAAAATAATCTGACCTTTGACCTTTAAGTCTTTATTTTTCCTGAAAGAAATCAGTATCAATTAATTTCCTAAGGAATAAGAGCAGTTGAACAAACTTCTAAAACAAATAATGATGACGACTCGTGTTTGAACAGCGAAAGCTGGCAGAGGTCACAGAGGAAGAGTGGCTGAGCATTCCAGAGGTTGGCGACGCCAGGAACAAGCGTCAGAGGAATCCTCGTTACGAGAAGCTGACTCCTGTACCCGACAGCTTCTTCGCAAAGCATTTACAGTCGGGGGAGAATCACACTTCTGTGGACCCACGCCAGACGGTGAGTGCAGAGCAAACCTGATGAGGACAGGATCTGTACTTCGTTGTTGTTAACAAGGGTTAAACCTTCTGTTCGTTAGTGGCACCTGGGGGGGGAAAAATGGGTATTTGACCAAAGATCTTGGTGTAGTTTGTGAGTCTGTCAAAGGAATCGCTGGATGTTAAACGCCTGTGCTCACTGGAGTCTCTCAGTGCGCACCCACTGCCAGAGAAGACTTGAGGATAGGCAGGGAGGGCCGGGTTCTTGTGCTGAAAATACAAGAAAGGGTTTCTTTTTTTTTTGGCTGAAGAATAGTGACAGTGAGTTCTGGTGAGTCTTGGTTTTCTGCGGGAGCAACGTTTTGCAAAAATAGACCAGTAAATAAAGTTCAGTTTCACCTAATGGTTTACTCAGCTCTGGAGCAATTGTATTGACAATAACGCGAATAATTTTTAACTGAATATTAAGTAATGCAAGAATATATTTCTCTCTCTTTGTTTTTAGCAATTTGGTGGATTGAATACTCCATATCCAGGGGGCTTGAATACTCCGTATCCAGGAGGAATGACACCAGGCTTAATGACACCTGGCACAGGCGAATTGGATATGAGGAAGATTGGCCAAGCCAGGAACACCTTGATGGATATGAGGCTGAGCCAGGTAAGGATGCTGAAGGGCGGGATCTGTCACAGGTTTACCTGGTGTAGGTGGTGTGCTGCTATTTAGGGCCTGGTTTTAGGAAAGTCTTTCATTCTCTTGGGTGTTGGAGAGAAGACATAGCTTGCCTGTGACTAGAAATCGTTTTGCACTCCTCCTCAAATCTCGTGCTCTCTACACTAATAGAATTTCCTGAGAAATCACAGTTTGTCCCTGGAAGTCTTGGTCCTTATGGGAGAACAGGCTGCCCTGTTTTACTAGAGGTAGACTGCAGACAAACAGCACTGGTAGTTTTGCCAAGGGAAGCATCTCTTCCGTCCTCTGTCAGGATGCAGCACAAAATGCTGAAAAATACTACTCAAGTTGTTGGTTTCTGGTCGTTTTCATTGATTTTTCCCATCTAAATCTGGTTTAAACTGAAAAGATGGACTTTAGCTGGCTGGGCTGCAAGACCTTTTGGTGACCGAAAGCCAAATGGTTTCTGACTTTTTAGTGGTACTAAATTTTTAATGTTACCTGTGTATTTTAGAAATGGAAGAATACTAATAAGCAAAGACTTTGTGCTTTCTTATTCCTTGTTTTTGGCAACAGATGACTATCTAGGTCTCTTGTGTAGCTGCAGTGTCTTTTCCAGTCTCTGATGTGTGCAGGCTGTGGGGTTGTGAGTGCTCATTTCAGTACCGCTGACTTGGCTTTCCCAGGTGTCGGACTCTGTGAGTGGCCAGACTGTTGTGGACCCGAAAGGATATTTGACAGACTTGAATTCGATGATTCCCACGCACGGAGGCGATATCAAGTAAGTTTAAGAAGGATTAACTGATTTATCCTCTTAGTAACGGCTGGGATCCTGCATATGACCGGAAAGCTGTCCGAGCGGGTGGCTTTCAGCTGGTATCTGCTCTGTACAAGATGCTAGGTGAGTTTCTGAGGGTGAATTCTTTTAACACGAGATCTGGTGTAGCCTTTCACCCAGTGTATTTAGCATCTGATCTGGATGCATCGCGTGTGGGGATTGTTTCTCTTCTATCCCCTAACGTGCCAGAGTGGTGGCAGCGTGTGGCTGCCTGCCAGCCAGCCAGGAAAGAACCTGAGTACTACTTATTTAGGCTTGATTGACCTCTGGAAAACTTTTTAACCTCAAGTTTGACACCTGTTTCGTGAAAAATTGCCATTTAAGTCAATGTGATACGTGCAAATGTTGATGCTAATATTTGACTTCACTCAGTGCTTGTGCTTATCAGCTTCCAATTGCAAGTGCCCACCTGTAATTCCTAAAGATCTTAAGGACCTAACTGGTTTTCATCGTGATCTTGCTGGGTTGGTGTGTATTTGTAAGCTTGTTTTGGTTTTGTTATTTATGACACCAGAACGGAGACATTTGAGGTCACTGTGCATCTGAGTGTGGCAGTGAAGCACTTCCTGACTCAGGAGAATGGTTTGCTAGCGTGCTGAAATTCTGCCTGCCTGTCCTTCCTCCTGCTTTAGTGATATCAAGAAAGCCCGTTTGCTCCTGAAATCCGTACGAGAGACCAATCCTCATCATCCACCAGCCTGGATAGCATCAGCCCGACTGGAGGAGGTCACTGGCAAACTCCAGGTGGCTCGAAACCTCATCATGAAAGGAACAGAGATGTGCCCCAAGGTCAGAATCGTTTCGCTTCCCTGCTGATCCTTGCAGGACGGTAGGAAAAGGTGGTGCTTAGGAGCAGCAGCACCTCTCTGTTAAGGTTGTATCAGCCTGTATCTGATACAGCATCGCTCTCTGCAGCATTAGAAGAACACGTGTTCGGCTTAGAAGCTCTAACTTTAAATTCTTGTTTTGATGTAAAGGAAGATGGTTTCTTTTTCCTGACAGAGTGAAGATGTTTGGTTAGAAGCAGCTCGGCTTCAGCCTGGGGATACAGCCAAGGCTGTTGTGGCCCAAGCGGTCCGCCACCTTCCGCAGTCTGTCCGGATCTATATAAGAGCAGCGGAGCTGGAGACAGATATCCGGGCGAAGAAACGCGTCCTTAGGAAAGGTGAGAGCTTCTGCAGGGTCAGGGAGCAAAGTCTGAGCCTCCCTCTGTGCTGTAAGCTGTTCAAGATGTGCCCCTCAGTTTAAGTGCTTTTTTTTGCATCCTGGGTGAAAATACAGTGTCACCACAGTGATTCCTGGTGGAGGAGCTTTAGAAGCCTTGGGGTTCCTGTCATTGAGCCTGGGGTTTGCTTTACCCTAGCAAGTTCTGTGTTTGTGACAAACAGCTTTTCCCTGTGGTGCTTACCTAAACCCTTACATCCTCTGTGATATTGCACTTGGAAGTGTTCTTTTGTGGAATTACTGTCTTTTCCAGATGGTGATCTCTTTACCAGCAGTTTGTTGTGCTGGCCTGAACCCAGGCCTTCCCCCAGCTTCATAGTATTAAATCTTTGATTACTTTTACGATCCTGTGCCTGTATCAGTAGGGATTAGATCCTTTGTGACTGTGAATCGTATCAATTATCTCCTGACTTTAATCCAGACAGGGTCTGGCTTTAATACGTTTACTAAATCATGAAGCAGTCGGCAGTGTTGAATGCTTTGGCTTCAAAGGGAGTTAATTGTGTCCCTCCTCTTCCTATTGGATGTGAAACTGCACATCTCTGGTGAAATGACCTCTCACTGCATAGGGATGAAAGACACTTAAAGGTTCCTGGGTTTGAAGTTGTTAGAGTTCAGATATTAACTGTTCAGTACATGTGAAACTGCACATCTCTGGTGAAGTGACTTCTCACTGCATAGGGATGAAAGGCACTTAGAGGTTCATGGGTTTGAAGTTGTAAGAGTTCAGATATTAACTGTTCAGTGGCTTTTTTTATTTTCACTGGCTAAGCAGTGCAGCCTGCTGGGAAGTGTCACTCCTGTGGCACTGTGTGTCCCTCTGCAAGAACAATAATAGCTGCTGAACAGAAAACCACTTTTAGGTAAGCAGACAGATTTCAGGGTCCAGCTTGGGTGGGAGAGCATCTTGTGTGAAAGCAGTGACTTACGCCTTAAGTACTGGGTTTTGATTTAAACGCTGTATTTGTGAAGAGAAAACATCTTGGTTCAGTCTTGAAACCACCTGCTTATCTCTGCTACAGAGCTGGTGGTGGGATGGGGCATGGTTTATCATTGCCTTTCCAGTTTCTGCCTGTCAGCAGCTGCACAGTGCTGCTCTGCTACCTGGGGAAGGTCAGTAGCGCGTGGCTTGGAGCTGTTTGTATGCACAGCCTTCAGCTAAGTGGTGCTTTAACCCATTATTTCACCTGAAATAAGGACTGACTGCCAGGTAGTGTCACTGAAGCGTGATCTGTCATAATGTGCTTCCCTGGCTGTGTCCGTTCCGAACATCCAGCGGAACCTCCGGGGTTTTTAAAGCCTCTCTGGCTGGAGAGCCAGCAAGCTGAGTGTCTAAAATGCATCTTGAGGAGTAAAAATTGAGTGCTCTGTCTATGAAAACATCTTCTGTCCTGCTTGAGTGATGCTTTCAGCTCTTGCAGGCTGATATTATTCACTGGAATTCCTCAGAAGAATCTCTTGCTGCCTCGGACTGGAGGAGGAATGGTTAATGCCCAAATCCTCGGAGCGCACAACTTGCAAAGGCTCTGTGTTTCAGCAGAGCTGGGGTGTGCTCTGAAGTTGAGGCTCAGCAGCGAGCCTCTGCGGCAATCCTTAAAGCAACGGCCTTTCCTAGAAGCCCAGCTAACTTCAGAGCAGCTTAGACGCCTCTTCCCACCTGGTTTTGTGTTCCCACAATAATTCTGGCTTGACTGAAGACGGGTGAGCTCAGTCCTCTGCTGCTGTAGCCCGTTCGTGTAGTATCGCCGTGGAACCACCGAAACTGCTGCTGCAGTGCAGCTAACACTGGTAACCCGTGGTTGAATTGTAGTGACGAAAGGCGCAGGAAACCCCTGTAGTTTCTCAGTGCGTCGTTAAGAGACGAGGTGATGAAGAGACAGGCCGAGAGCGGTTGTTTACACGTTAATGTTTCAGACAGCACGTTAGGGCAGTCTGCAGAGAATGCAGCTTCTACCAGCAGTAGATTAAGGAAGCCTCCAAGACTCTTAATTAGGTGGAACCCCTACTGGATTGCCCCAAGAACTCTGGATTCAGTGGCTTAGGGTGTTAGTGTCAGCGATACCTTTAAGCTTTTATGCATCCTGGTTTATTTTAGCATAGCGAGCCAATAACTTTTTGGGTTGCTAAGCTGGGATACGTTAAGCTCCCAGGAGGTGCTTGCAGGAAAACTAAATTGTGAAGGGACAGTTCAGATATCTAAGGAACACGGTGGTGTTTCTGGTTAGTACTGAAGATCCTCCTGTTTTATAAGGCCAGACCCAGCGTTTTAGGCTGTCCAGTTTTGAACTGAGCATCATGCACATGCTCCTCTGCTGAGACTGGAGGATTTGTTCAGGTGTTTTGCTGAGGAGGATGCAATTAAAGCTGGAACAGGGGAACAGCTGTTGGCTCTCCAAAACCTGTTCCCAATTAAAATTAAGTTTTTTATTTTCTGATTTGTTCTTGGCGTTGAAGCAAGAGCTAATGTAAGTACAGTTCCCTCCCTCCTCTCGGGAAATTTCATCTGCAACAGGACAAAGCCTTTAATATATCATCTTTAAAAGCTGCAGTTCTCTTTGGTAAATGACTGTGTCACGGCTGACATCATTGTTCTGCCTCCCCAGCCCTTGAGCACGTTCCAAATTCGGTGCGTTTGTGGAAAGCAGCCGTGGAGTTGGAAGAACCTGAGGATGCCAGGATCATGCTGAGTCGTGCTGTGGAGTGCTGCCCGACGAGCGTTGAAGTAAGTTTTAAAGGAGCAGAAGAAATAAAGCAGCCCCCTATGCACCACTTGGGGTTGGCCGTAGAGCTTTGAAAACAAAACCCACGCGCTTTACGCCACGAGGAGGACGTGGTGAGCAGTGGACTGTGCTTTTTGCCTCTGGAGTTAATTGTCTGGTGGTCATTATAAGCCTCGTTTTCCTGGGTAATTATTAGGTTCGTTATGCCAGCGTACTGCTGTGCCTGCTGTAGCCAATTAGCCGTGTTCGTGTCGGCCGTTGTGAAAACAAGCGTATAGCTTGGGGAATCCAAACCAGTTGCTCGTTCCTGAAACGCTGAACCTGAGTGTAATACTCAGCTGTTTAAAAGGTGGTGTGGGCAGAAGAGCCGAGAGCAGCAGCCAAGGGAGGTGGTATCTTGAGGTGACTAGGACTGAGCACTGAGGACAGTTGCAGACTCTATCCTGCGCTGGTATCCTGCAGCCCGCTCGAGGACGGTTGCCAGCCGGTAGCAAAGAGCGTCACGTTGCGTATCGCTGGGCCGCTGCCGCCGTACGGCGGCGTTGTCATCTCCTTCTGATCTAAACTACATCTTTCGTTGCTCCGCAGCTGTGGTTGGCGCTGGCGAGGCTGGAGACATATGAGAATGCTCGTAAAGTCCTTAACAAAGCCCGTGAGAATATTCCAACGGATCGTCACATCTGGATTACTGCTGCCAAACTGGAGGAAGCCAATGGGAACACCCAGATGGTGGAGAAAATAATTGACAGAGCCATCACGTCTCTTAGGGCTAACGGCGTGGAAATCAACAGAGAGCAGTGGATCCAGGTATGTGCTCGGTCCTGGGTAGAGACCCAGATGAACTCCACCTTCTGTTTTGAAGGCAGTTGATGCAGGATATTGTAGGATAGAGGACTTTTGCACTCGAGTTATCAGTGGAGACCCCCGTGACAATACAAGAGGTAAGAGCGCCAAGGCCTGGGTTAGGTGATACACTGGGGTGACACCGTGTGTTGAGCTGAGGAATGTCGGGTTTACTTGGTCTTGGGAGATAACCAGCTTCAAGCTGAAGCAGCTGCTGCCTTAAGTTAAGGCTTAAGTCTTTAAACCTGTTTATGACTAAAATCACTTACAGTGGGTCAAGGCAGCAGAATGTCCTTGGTACGCTGCTTAAGAGTATTGATAATGAGCAAAGTGGCTCATATTAAACAGGTATCTGTTAACATCGAGCAGAATTACAACTTTCTTTACAGCAGTAAAACAGTTAAAGGTTAATTTTAACTTCTGTTTAAAAAAAACAGCACGGCAGCCTCTGCATCGTTGTCTTCTCGAGTTCCTCTTCAGTGCTGGGGCTGTTACCCAAGCAGAGGTCTTGGGAACAAGTTTAAGCAAGACACGCTTGGCTTTTCCGAAGCTTCGGATGTCAGAAACCCACACTTTTCCACCTGTGCTCTGGTGAGAGAGCATTTGCACCTTTAGCTTCACAGCCATTGAGCGTATTTGTTTAAATTTAGTTAGTGCTTAGCCCTTACTGGGGCTTAGTAATCAGCCCAAAGCTGAAAGGAGGTCAGTAGCTTGGATGTTACAATTCTTTCTTCTTGAATTCTCACATTTTTATATTCGCCAGGTCCCTCCTTGGCCCAGGGCAGGTCAGGGGAGCTGTAAGAGAAGACTTTTCAGGCTGAAAAGGTCACGCATTGTCACACAACTCCTTTTCAGGGGATGCAGTGACGGGCTTTGTTTCTTAACCAGCTTCTGATCGATTCTGTGCCCAGCTCTAGCACCTTCCTCCTGGGTGCAGGCTCACCCGTTAGTGTCAAGGTCTGAGTAAAGAGATACTCGTGATGTGGCAGTGACCCCCGGTGTCTGTGTTTGCACCCCAGGAGTTGCTGTTGCAGAATTTAATGTCTTGTGCTGATTTCTCAAAAATGAGTGGGTTTTCACTCTTGCTTCTAGGATGCTGAGGAATGTGATAAAGCTGGAAGCGTGGCCACGTGCCAGGCAATCATGCGAGCTGTGATCGGGATTGGGATTGAGGAAGAAGATCGGAAACATACCTGGATGGAAGACGCAGACAGCGTACGTCCAGCTGTGATGCTGGTTTTGGGAGTTTTTAACTGGGGGAAATTAAACCAGAGCGTGGGAAACAACCTTTTTTTTATCAGTGCAAGTGGATGTGGTTCCCACAAGGCCAGTCTGCCTCTGGAGAGGTTACTGTATCGTAGAGCTTTCTTCAGACTGGAAACTTTACTAAGCAAAAAGTTGGTGTTGTGATGGATTGTTTGGTGTGGATTTTATTTGTGTGTGTGACATCAGCAGAGGTTGAGGTCTGGTTAAAGGAACTGGGAGTTGTATTTCAAGGCATAAACACTGTAGCTCAAGAGTTAATGTGAGTCTGGACGGGGGAATGGGTAGAAGTTTGATCAGACTTTGCTTTAGGGGAGTAGCTTGAACACACACTAAGAACTAAATTATGTTTCAGCGTGAGAAACGTCCGTTTCACTGGCCTTGAGCTGGGCTTGCAGCAGCGGGGGGGTGGGGGTGGGGGGCATACGCTGGGGCACGCTTAGTTTTCCCTGTAAAAAAATACAACCAAGTGCAAACATGGGGGTGTTTACAATGCCTCACTGGTGTTTCCAGCTGGCCTCTGCGTGTCAGCCCCGCTGAAAGGCCAGCCGTACTTGTGCTCTGACAGACAACACTTGAAAACTTCCTCCCCGCTTCCTCTCAGGAAGTGATAATAACTCTTCTGCTCCATGTAATGCCCCAGTGCATGTATTACTCCGAGTCCTGGGTTGAATTAGGCCTGTGTCATTCCCCCTGGTGCTTGATTTTGGCGCAACCCTAAGCTGACTCGCTTCTGCTCTGCTTTTCCTTAGTGCGTTGCTCATAACGCTCTGGAGTGTGCCCGAGCGATTTACGCCTATGCCTTGCAAGTCTTCCCGAGCAAGAAGAGCGTGTGGCTGCGAGCAGCCTACTTCGAAAAGAACCACGGGACGAGGTACGTGCGCCGCGTAATCCTTGGGCGGGGGCGTGCCTCGGTGGGTTGGGGAGGGAGAAAAGCTGCAGGCCGAGCCCTGAAGTGGTGTGTTGCACGTGCGGAGCTGGTGCAGCTGGTGGAGACTCGGTGGCGTTGTTTGCAGCTCTGACCTTTGTTATGGTTGTGGCCAGAATGTCTTTGATTTTTATGAAGTCATAAAAAGCTCTTTGGCAGCAGAACTTGGTAGTAATAGTTGCCAATCAGTAAGGTAGGGACAGTCATCTTCGAGAAGGCATTCCTACCAAAAACTGGGAATATAGATCATCTAGAAATACAGCATGCGTTTAATTTTCATGGATAATTTAATTTATGCAGATCATTTAATTTACATCAGTCACTGACTTCTCCCAGCATCTCTGGGGTTTTCTGGCTGAACACGCTGTGAGTGTGTACCACACTCGGTGTTGGGGTTGGTGTTACACTCTCACAAGCTCAGGCCTCTTTTTCAAGTTTTTAAAGCTTTTAAAGCTTCAGGTATCGGAGACTTTCTGCCCAAAGTGTAGAATGAGGCAAGCAGTCCGTGCAATGAACCGCTTCCGCACGTGGGATCATCCCTTGTTAAAGCCAGTGGAGCTGTAGTGCTGACGTGACTGCGGACGCTGCGTTCTGCCTCATTCGAGCTTTTGCTTTTTTGTACTTGGAACAAGCACGTCTTTGCTTTTCCTGTTGTTCTCCCGCCTGTCCCAGTGGTGGCTGGCTTTTAGCTTCTACCTGAAAAGTGTATTTTCCAGAGGGGAAAGAAAAAAAAAGTCAGTAAGATCAAGCCAGCTTCACCTAATAATTCTGAAAAACTTCCTGTCCCGGTTTCTGCTGGGGTTTGTGGAGAAGAAGGGCTCCTTCCAAGACAAAGGAGCTGTTGGTGCGCAGGGTCTTTCCGCAGAAGCTCTCCAACAAAGGTGTCGGAACAATGAGCCGTTTGTGGAGCGCTGGTTTCGGAACCCTTGTGAAAAAAGACCCCACCCTTTCCTTGTTATGAAACAACTTATCAGGGTTTATGATGTTGGACTTTGCAACAGTGTTTATAACACTGAGTGATAGTGGGAATGGTGTGTGCGAGCTCGCCTTTGGCAGCATTTCCAGCCCTTCTAACTTGCTCTTTCTTGTCTCAGAGAATCCTTGGAGGCTCTTTTGCAGAGAGCTGTTGCTCACTGTCCCAAAGCAGAAGTGCTCTGGCTCATGGGAGCCAAATCGAAGTGGCTGGCGGGAGACGTGCCAGCAGCCAGGAGCATTCTGGCCCTGGCTTTCCAGGTGGGTGTCACAGACCTGTGTGGTGGTGTTAAGTACAACCGGTAAAGAATACAGAGTAGGCTTTTCCTGTCAACTTGCTGCCCTTCCGAATGAGGAGATGCTTCCGCTGTTCTCTGATTGTTTTGTGGCAAGTGTTCTCCTGGAAAACAGCAGCGAGCTGGAAGCAGGAGTGTATCACTACTCTTAGGATTCTGAGTTCACAAACCATTCCTTTTCCTCCTGTGGCTCCCACCAACCCCAGTCACGGTCAGAATCCCCTTGAGTTGGGTCACCTGTCTCCTCGGCAAGAAGGGTAGTGGTCTGCCTGAGTTACTGAGGTGACTGCGTTACTTATGGCTTGGACCAAAGCCCCTGCTCCACAGCACCATGGAGTGAATTCTAGTGGAAGGTGTCCCTGCACATGGCAGGGGGTTGGAACTAGATGATCTAAAGATCCCTTCCAACCCAAACCATTCTGTGATTTATCAGATCAGAGTTACTGAACTTTCTAAACCTATTCCAAGTCTATTCTTAGCTTCCAGAAGTACCCAGTGATCTAGAAATAGTTTATCACATCCTGTATTTCATTCATAGTTTCTTTGGTCTATTTATTAACTCATAGACTCATCAGACTAATGGGTATGACATCAGCAGTCACGACGCTGTAAGAGTTCATCCAACAGGATTTGGTGTCAGTTGTCAACTAAAGGTGTTCTCTTTGTTAGATTTGTAATAGGAAACCTTCTCCAAGCAGGAATTTTGAGCAGTTTCTTACTTAAAACACTGCTTAAATACAACAGGTATGTTGTGTTCAAATCTAGGGAATAGCAGAGCCATAAAAAGGGAGGCAAGGACAGGACTTTGTGATGAAAATGAGAAAGCCAAGGGTGCAAGAGCAGTGACTGTGCATAGGACTGTAAAACGGGGTTGGCCGCTCGACGCTGAAAGATGGGCAGAGCGGTACAGTTCTAACGCTGGGGGTGAGGCTTCAAAGCTAAGGGACAGCGAAAACAAATCGCGGGTCCTGAAGAGGGAAGTAAAAGAGATTTACTTCTTAAATTTGTCCTTGGTGCTGGCTGTTACCATCCTGGAGGCTTCTTGACACGGTTGCCACTGAAGTGACTTGTATTGGAGGAGCGTTCACAGACCGCAGCTGGGAATTCAAGCCTCGGTTTTCTCGCTCAGGGATAATAAAATGAGGGTCTCATTGTGGCAGACCCTGTGATCTTTGGGGTATTTAAACTGGAAGTTCACAAGATCAAGCGTTAATGCTTTTCAACAATTGAGAAGCATCCAGCTTCTAAACTGGCACATATCTTTGTGTTGCGCATCTGTTTTGGAGAACTTCTATAAACTTCAAAGGTCACAGAAGATTGGGAGGAGCTTGAACTGCAAAAAAAAAAACCAAACCCAACCCAAAATCCTAGTGTGGATTGACAAAGCTCTGATTTCAATTTTAACCTGGATCAAACGGAGGATTAAATCTGCTGTTGATTCACTGTGTGCCTTTGTCTGTCACTTTATGTTCTCGCAGGCCAACCCCAACAGCGAGGAGATCTGGCTGGCTGCCGTGAAGCTGGAGTCGGAAAACAATGAATACGAACGAGCGAGGCGGCTGCTGGCGAAAGCTCGCAGCAGTGCCCCCACTGCCAGGGTAAGAGGGTGTGATGGCTGGGGGGGCTGGGACCTCTCCTGCCCGCGGCGGGAGTTGAGGCGGAAGGAGGAGTTCCTTCGCTTCTGCGGCCTCCGTGGTGGCCCGGATGGCTCCCCGCCATCGCAAGGCCTGTGGCCGCTTCGCCGCCGTGCTTCTCCGGCGAATTGCGACACGAAATCACGGCACGATGGGAAAAAAAGAAAAGGCTAGGATTGAGTGAAGGCTTTTGGGGTGGGTTGGTTTTTTTTCTTCAGTGGCAAAAGTCAGGAAATTCCCACTTTACAGCTGTTTGTATAATGTTCACGTTGCATAAAAGCATGCCTTGGAAAAAAGAGGGAGAAAATCCTTTCACAGAAGCCTCGCTTGTGCCTGCTGTGCTAGAGGCAGCTCTGGCTGAGGCTGTTGTTTAAAGCTGTGCTCGTGTTTATCTCTGTTACTTCTGGTACATAAACTGTCGGTCTGGGGGGTTGGAACTAGATGATCTTTAAGGTCCCTTCCAACCTAAACCATTCTGTGATTTTCTGCTGTTCATACAGAACCATTTCAACTTGTCCACGTGAAAGAAGAATGAGTTTGGTGTCGGTCCCCTGTCTGCCCCCCCTCCCCAATTTCTGTTTCATCTGAGATCTGTCCTCTTTTGTCTTTTCTCTGCAGCTGGGGCTGAAGCTCTGGTCTTGGGCTCGATGCCTTTTATAATGAGGGGAGTTTGGGAATGGGGAGGACAGGGATCAAAGCGTAGCGGAACAGCCTTTAGTCTGTAATGTGTTTCTCACAGCTGTGACTCCCGTGTGTAGCCAAAAGAAAGGCATTTGGGGGCAGAAATGTGTATGTACTGGTTTATAATGAGCAGGACAGCAGTTGCAGCTTGAAGATGTAAGAACAGGTGGTTTTGGTAGCTTGGATCTAAGGAGGTGGGGTTGTGCTGATGAAGCTGACTCCAGTTTGTTAATTGGCTGTGCTCTTTGTACCAACATCATACAAATGTCAGGTGAGATACAGGTTGATCACGCTGTTCCAACTTCTTCCAACCTTTGCCTTTAACTTTCTCTTTGTTACCTGTTCCCACTGTTTAACCCTGCTGTTCATTTAATTCTCATTTTACTTCAAACTGCAGCTAATCAGTAACATTCTAACGAAGGCACGGAAGTAGGAGCCCACTGCAGTGACGGACTGGTGGGTTTTCAGTGGCCGCTAGTGACAAACAGCTCTGGTTCGTTCTCAGGTCTTCATGAAGTCTGTGAAGTTAGAGTGGGTGCTTGGGAACATCGCTGCAGCCCAGGAGCTTTGTGAGGAAGCCCTGAAGCACTACGAGGACTTTCCCAAGCTCTGGATGATGAAGGGACAAATCGAGGAACAAAAGGAGCTGGTAGAGAAAGCACGAGAGGCTTATAATCAAGGGGTAAGGTGCTGTTGCAAGTTTGCTCTGTGCTTCTGGCGTGGAGAGATGTCTCTGAATCAGAGCAGAGAGGGCTCTGCCCCAGACTAACCAAAGAGATGATTTCTGTTCTCTTTGTCATTGGTTAAAACAATAGAAAACAAAACAAAAATAGGACCTTGAAATAAGCAGCAAGAATGTCTCTTTTGCCCGCTCTCCATGTGCAGAATTCACTGTTTGGCTCGAGAGAGGTTGCTATGTGCTTGGCTCCTCCCCGGAAGGAAGAGAGCTGTTGCACAGTGATTCTCTACGACCTGTAAAGAGAAAAGAGCAGAACTCTTAAAAGAAAAGCTCCTAGTGAGCTCCTAAATACACCCTGTAAAAGGAGG